CTATCAGGTGAAGAAACTTTTTCCATGGGCAGGCGGATAACAGCTGAAGTAGCCTACAGCACATGCTGCTCACAATTTATTTTCAATGAGAAATGTTATGAATGTTGTGAAGGATTATTGTTTGGGCCTGTATTAGATTCATATTTCAAATAAATAAATTATTCCATACTGTGGCTTGCTTTTGCTTAATTGTTTATTTAATTGATTAATGACTCATAAATGTCACCCTTCACTTGTAAAAATAAAGGTTAATTACTGGCATTGATGGTTCCACAATCAAACTGTAATATCCATGGAACCTTTCCATTCCCCAAAATGCTCTTTTGTAAGGGTAAACTCGATTAAATGATTTAAAATGTATAGTAACAGGCAGGGGCGGATCTACCGGGGTGGCAACTGCCACCCTAAGAAAAAGCTGTGCCACCCCAGAATTATCCTACGTGATCTCATGATAATTCGTATGTATTTTACGTAACATGTGGTTCTATAAAACGTACATTTACTTACGTTTTTACAGGCACTAAAACGTATAATACTGACGTATTTTCAGCATCTAAACGTACAGATACTTACGTATTTTCAGCATTTAAACGATACACAATTTACGTATTGATGACACCTAAAAATGAATCCTTATGAATATTGAAATCGCGGCATTAATTTGATTAGTTTTTAGTTGTCATATGAATTACCTTGTTTTCAGTTGTATTATTAAATTGTTTACTCATTTACTTGTGAAATGATAACATTTCGGTTTTGTTGTGATTTCTGCTGCCAGCTCGTTTCCAAGAATATGCCTACATAATGTTAAACACGACTTCACTTTAAACCTTAAAATAAATAAATTTTCTGCAATCGTTTAACCTTTACTCGTCATATAACGTTTACTTTGATTGCCATAGGCCACAAAAGGCGTTTTTTCCCAACATGCTGTGACTAACAATAGAACTATAAAATACACCAAAAACGCAACATAATTACGAAATGAAACAATTTTATTAGTGCGCTGTAATCCAAATCTTCCGAATCCATACGACTGTGAGGAACAGACCCAAATCCAAGCCTTTATTCGGCGATCTGCTTCTCCGAGCAGCGAGTCCAGTGACCGTGAGCAGCAAAGCCCGCGCTGACTGACGCGCTCTTTACAAATTCAAATGTTGCCGCTTCAAACGACAGGTTTTACGGCAGGATTATCGAACGCTCATTGGCTCTTGCCTGCATTCGTCACAGATTGCGACAAGCTGTGTTTCTGGTGAGGTGTGTTTGAATAATGCGCGCGTGCCTTCACGAGTTCACGGAGTGGATCCGGGAAAATTATCTGGATAATATTTTCAGCGATTAACAACATAAATTCTGCTCTGGATCACACAAACCTACTGTATTCCGCCAGAGAGGACTGCGGGTGCAACACATCATTTGGATTACATTTGGTGCTGCTTTTGACATTTTTGCAATAAATAAATGATTGTAATGGCATCTGTCTGTCATGTTTTTCTTATACTGTACAGAAATGTTTAGGTTTATAGGTAGGAGTGTAATTAGCGACTATAAAAATATTTTAATGCTATATTGTTACTAAAATTGTTATTTTCCTGCGTATTTCGGTCATTTGCGTTTTATATCCTTTTATATTCGCTATAAAATGGGTAGGTTTAGGTTTGGGGGTAGGTTAAGGGGTCTAAAAATCTAAATTGCATATTAATAAAATGATAAAAATGCATATTCGCTATAAAATGGGTAGGTTTAGGTTTGGGGGTAGGTTAAGGGGTCTAAAAATCTAAATCGCTTATTGATAAAATGATAAAAATGCATTGATATGAATATCTTGATATAAAAGATACGTAAATATTTTTACGTTTTTTAGCTAAAAATACGTAAGCGATTTGTACGTTTTAAACGTTGAAATACGTCTAAATTGTACGTTTTAGCATTAATAAAAACGTACAAAAATGTACGTTTTGTGCTTGTAAATGTTACGTATTAATACCTACGTATAAACATGAGACCAGGCTGAATTATCATAGAATAAAATATAAATGTAAGCAGTGTTTCATGTGCTACTTTTCAGCCGCGACGATGACAGTGTAACGCAAAATAATAGCAAAAACACGTATTTTAATAAACTGTGCACGATGGTTGCACGCGCACGCAGAGTGCCAGTGTAACGTTAGTCGGCTTCATTAACAAATGACTCTTATGAACCGGATCTTTTGAGTCAAAACCACAAAGCGCGGCTCAGTTCACTAACAAATTGTTTTTACATTTGTTCGTGAATCAGATAATTACTGCTTTTCAGGTAACTCAGAAGTCCTCTGAGAAATCTAATCCCGTCCGGATATATCTGAGATTCCTCGCGTAATTGTTTGGTGATCCGATTCTCCGACCGCTCGCTCCACTTTCATCATGGATATATGCCGTAACAATAACGTGAAATCAATAAGAATATGCCGATCACGGAAACGAATAGCAGAGTTAGGTAAGAATCTAGTCTTATTGAAGTTTTCTCGATTGTTAATATAACTGTTAATATAAATTTTAGTTGGTACTTTTCCCCCCAAACCATTAATTCAGTTTTCAAAACAAAGACACATTTCTCAAAAAGTTTAACAATGAGTAAGTTAAACATTAGGTAGCAAAACTGATGACACACCAATCAGAATCTCTGCATCCTAACAACGGAGAGA